AAATCTGAGCAGGTCCTCACCCTCTTCTAGAGTTAGGCAAAAGGAAAGAAAGTTTGTTTAAAAATACAGGGAGTGGATATGTCAAGAGTGGACTGCACCTCAACTAGAGCAGCCTAAGAGTTAGTCAGATTGGTTTACATGCTCCCTTTTACGTTAACTGTTAATATCTGCATTTAGCACACAGTCAGCTAAGGCTCAGCGATGCTTTAGGAAATGCACAGAGAACGCACAGGTGACATCCTGCGAAGAGAAACCCCCCCCGGTCCCGCAGGGAGCAAACTGGGTCTCTGCCTCCCACACCCCATTCAAGCAGCTGGCATCGCCACAGCATCGTTTAAGAAAGGACAAGACCATTACTTGGCCGGCTGCTTACAGCCATATGGGCAGCCGTGTAGACAGAACATTCCTTAACAAAATGTGTATTTTCTGTAGTCTCATGATATCATTTGCAAAATAACAGTGCCATCCATCTCATCCATAGTTCTCAACTCCCACAAGCTTTGCCACCTCTTTTGTACTGTGGTAACAACATATCTTTCAAAAAGATTTGCTTTTTAGCTTTTGTTACCACCTTTCTGTGAATCATAAGGAACATCAAAAGCCTTCTAAAAACCGCAAGATTTTGTGAGGTTTTGACAGCAGCTTATCAATTATCTTCTGGCCTATCAATATAGCACTGTTAAGAGCGTAACCTATGGACTGACTCACTGGAATAGGCCAAACTTCTCAAGGGTGAAAGAAAATTAAAGATGCAGAAAGATATAATCTAACCTTCTTGCCTGGAAAACTCAATTTCATTGTATCTATTACCAGTAGAAGCAGAAGGTGTGCTACAGCAATTAAACTTCTCAATTCTAATTTCAATACAGGATTAACAAACAAGCTCAGAAAAGTTGCCACCCATCAAAACCATCCACTTGCTAAAGCGTAAAGTTGTCTCAGATGCTCAGTGTACAAAGCAGCATGCTCTGAGAGCAGGTGTCCCAGCTCCAGATCACACTTTGGATCTTGAATTGCACGTGGTTGTCCATCAGTTCAAATATACCACCCAGGCAGAGACTGCCACAGACGTGGCAGCACAGCTGCGTGGGCACAGAGGCTGCTGGAAAGCCTTAGCATCTGGCTGTCAAAGGAACTGGGCAGGGAAGGACAACAAAGGCACCATCGCTGCGTCATCCCGGTGGTGCAGCCTCAAATTCAAGCCTAGCCCCAGTCAAGCACTGGGAGTGCTTGCAAGACAGGGCTTGTAAACTCCTCCCAGAGCTGTTTCCCGATTACCCTCTCCAAGAGGCATAGTGCATTGTCCAGTGGTTCTCTTCCATACGAAGATTTGGTTCCTAGTATTATAAAGTCTGTCTCCTATTACAGAATGAAAGTTTTGTGTGCCTATACGTTAAGGTGCACCTGGCAAATACATCCCACTTCCTACTATGAAAGAAAATTCATAGTAGGTCTGATCAGGCACACATTAAGACATGCAACATTTCAAACACTGTTCACGGTTCTCTCTGCTACATACAAACGCCTTATCCCTATAAATCCCTTTGTAAAGATTTGCCTCTTTCGTAACACCTATCTATAGTACCAACTGTAAGTACAGACTGGAAGTCTGGCTAAACACAGCCTTCACCTAGCTACCCTGCTACAACTCATTATCACCTTATTTCTTGTTTTTTCACACCAGTATTTAAGGTTAAAAGCTTTGACTGATAGAGGACATGTAGCTCAAGCAACTCGCTTGTTTTGGGCAGTATAATCTTAAGTATAGTGCAAGTTAATACATGTGTAATTCAAGCGTTAGAACTGAATGATGGAGTGAAGCTGAACACATTTTCCATGTGTGAGTTTGTCCTGGACACTCAAGTCTGGGAAATGAGACATCCACAGGGGAAGCATGGCATCTGATCCTCACTTCCTTGGAAGGAATATGCTTCTCTTTCAAGTCCTGGCTCAGCCTTACGCTTCAGCTTCCCACGGGCCTTTGTGCTGTAAGAGTACTTGGGGCAGCAGTGACGAATCCTCACAACCTTTTTGCTGACCTTTTTTGATCTGTGACTGATGCACTGGAAGAAACATCCAGTTCTTGTCAGCAGCTCATCAATAAATACGATCAGACCAGTCAGCCATGGATGAAAGCTGCACCACCTCCTCCTGACTCAAAACCTGCTTCTCCTGCCTCGGTGGCTGAGCTCATCCTGAGGCCTCTCCCTGGACAGACTCAGTGGCCCTCGATAGCTGCGAGCTTCCTCTGCAGAGGGTCTCCTGTGCCCAGCTCCTTCCTCGGTCCGTTTCTGTTGCCGCAGCCACTCACTCCTTGGCTGCGTTACCTACCTCGCTCCTATTGACTCTCCTGCAAGTTCTGGGGTTTTCCTCCCTTCAAATGTTGAGGCTACATCCTCATTTTCTAGATGTCAAATTTAATGCCTGTGGCCTAATTCATAACATTTCTAAATTGTCATAGATACAGCCAGGACAACTGAAGCTGAGCTTGCAGCTACCTAAAGATCAAGTAGAGCTGGGCTCTCATAATAAACTAGTAATCAAAAATTAAATGCTTTTGAGTTTAGCCTCTGCTGCTCCCAAGGTAAACTGGCTAATCCCACTGCTGTATGACCCCCTTTGTAAACTTCAGTTAAGGTTAATGAAGCAAGCACTCAAAATGGAAATTAAACTTAAAAATAAGCTTGCAAGAAAATTAATTTTGCATTCAAAGATGGGCTTCAGCAGTGCTTTGGAAGACAGGCATGGAGCTGTGAACTGAAGACTAAAACTCCTGAAAGGACATTTGTTAATTGTAGCCCCCTATTCTCTACATTAACATGGAAAAAAAAATGTGATCATAATTTATCAGTGAAAGAGTTGGAGTTAAAGTTTCTAGAGTCCTAACATTTCCTAACTTTTGAGCACTCTGCTGAAAGTTCAGTGTTGGATATTTAATTTATTTCTAGTTTTACTCTCAGCCTCCAAAGAGACCAACTTCAAATGTCAGTTATTACTTATATTTTAAATTTATTTCTCAAAGAGTATTTTAAAAAATGTTTACAGTTCACTACAGTGTAGCTTTCTCCTCTGTTAAAAAAATCTCTACCACTGTAAACAGTCTTATAGCTAAAACCCCCGCACTGGATGCCAAGAGATGTGGGTTTGATTCCTAGCTCAGTTACAAATTTACTGAGTGACCTAGGCTAAATTTATTCTTCTGCATCTTAATTATTTTCTTTTCTGAAATACTCTCTTCCCCACATCATGCTGCTTTTTCCACTTAAGGGAGTGAGGCATTTAAAATGCATAAGAGCAGAGATCTCATTTCAGCTGAAGCTTCTACTCCTTTTTGGCACGTTTGATATATACCATGAAGTAGTATGATAAAAATGTATATACTTATTTTCAAACACTGTACAGAAAAAACTTTCTAAGCCCTTATCAAAGCATATAAATACTATATCATTCTTCAAATCCCTTGAGAGGCAAGGGACCAACACTTCTGAAAGAGTGGCTCCAAAATCAGAGTGGGTCCAGCCTTTCGTTCCTAAGACTAACCTTTTATCACAGAATTTGCAAGCCTTTCTGACAGGGATCAACTTCTAAGCAGAATTTATGAACTACAATTAGAACTGATGTCAAAGGCAGCCACAGTCGCAAATACGCCTGTGTTTGACTACCTTCACTGTGGGTTTTTTCCCCCCAAATACCTACTCAGAATTTTCTGTGCAGCAACTTATGTCTGCTGCCTGTCATCCTTTTGCTCTGTACCTCTGTATTATGTAGTGGAGAGTGCAATTAAATCCCACCTCCACCCCTGCCGCCTTCTCCTCTCCAGGCTGAAGACATCCAGTTCTCTCAGCCTCCCTCTATGCCTCTTCCTGCCCAGTCATCCTGGTGGCCCTCCACTGAAGTATCTCAAGTGTGTCAGTGCCATTCCTGTACCGCAGAGCCCCAAACAAGGCACAGCACATGAGATGCAGCATCACGAGCACTAGATAAAGGAACAGTCACCTCCCTTGACCTGCTGGCTGCAATCCTGTTAATACAGCCAGTGGGTAGCTAGCCTTTGTCATTGCAACCGCACACTGCTGACTCTTGGACTCCCTGGTCCTTTTCTCCCTCTTAAGTTACAAAGAAAAGTTTATGTTCTTTTCTACTTCTTGATAAAATCATTTGTTTGCCTTTTCTCTTTAAATCCTCCCCTCCTTTGACGCCTTATTAGAAAGGCTTGCATAAAGAAATTATTATATAATTCCCTTAAGATTCAGAACTTCACTTTACATACACAGAAGCACCACAGCTGGAATGCACTTTCTATGAGTTTCAGTTGAAACACTCCCAGTGATTGCAGCTAGCAATGACTCACAGAGAAAAGCAATGTCCTAACTGGGTATCAATAACAGAAGAGCTAGCTAGGACACTGACCTAACCCCTGGTCTAACATCACAGCCTTGCCTATGCTGAACCAGCTGCCAAGGCACTGCAGTTGATGGGTGACAGTGCTGGCTTCACACCTGACAGCCATCCCGATTAGCAAGTAGCACTGAAATTTGCATAATTTCAAGCTCAAAAGTAAAATATGGGACGTAAAACATGTTTAGGAGGTGACAAATAGTTTCCACAGTAACGTTTTCCAGAACGTGTGAACAAGAAGAGCCAGTTCAAGAACACTACTTGGTACAAATACACGTTAATCCAACACGGAAAGATTTGCTAGAACTGGCAGTATCATCTGCACAGAACCAGAAAACTGCCAGAGGCTTCTCTAAGTTAATGTTTAACATCATCAAGAGCCTTGAATAGATGCTTGTGTAGTTGCAATATATGAGGAAAGGGAGAGTAAAATCTGCTCTATTTAGCACTGCAAACACAATAGAAGTCAATTGGCTATTTCTATTAATATTGAAAAGCAAACTAAATTTGTTCTAAACACAAAATCCCCAAAAACGTAGCTAAGAGAAGGTAAAATGAAACATGTCATTCTTATTTCTACAGCTTCACTTCTGAAATTGAAAATGTGTTATCTCATTGCAGACATGGCAGAGCCAATTCAGCAGCTCACTAGAAATAACAGTCCCCAGGAGAGACAGACCATCCCATTCACTCTGATCCAGCGCAAAGAAAAGGTAATGCCTTCATTCCCAATTGAGATTTTAGCAGCATTTTCAGTATTCATACCTAGCTCTCAAGACCATCTTCCTTTATAAAATTGTATCCGCTTGTGATTTTTAGCATTCCAACTGGATAGGTAGTTGGGCGTTTCATTTTTAGCATACGTCATCATTTTTACTGGGTGTATTTTTCTTTCTTAGAACTAGAAAGCAGCAGGAAAGTCAGAAGGTCAGGAATTACAGTATTTGTGATCATTTTAGAATTAATTTAACAAAAATAAACTCACATTTTCACATTTAAAAAGCTCATTTCGATCACTGAAATCAATGCAGTTGCTTTGTTAACATGTTAATTAACATTCAGCATAGAGTAACTGAGGGAGATTAATATCTCAGTTTAAAACCAAACTTGTCCTTTTGTATCATGGATCGTTATCAGACAAATTGTAATTTACAAAGCCATTTTATCCTCTAACAAAAACCTGAAACTGATGTTCATACTGTTTGCAGCTCAGAAAATGTGCAACTGAGCATCCAACCTTAAGTAAGTGACAACCTAAGAAAATCTTTACTAACCACGTATGAAGACTTCCTGTCACCTTTTTTTTTTTTAAATAAATCCACATAATTCAAATTTATCAACATCACTATTTGAGTTGAGTTATTTTATACAAACAATTTGGGACTAACTCAATTTTTTTTATAATTAGATGTCCATTAACGAGGTCAAAGATAGGAACTGCTTTCAAGGACTTTCTCAGTAGTATTGTAAAGGGGTAGATTTAAAAAAAAAGGTTTTCCAGTGGTAATTTCAACTAAATATTTAGTACCGCACGTTCAAAAGCTGACAGCTCCTATTTTTAAAGGCAAACCACCTCTATTATCAGCAGCTGCTGAAAAATATTTTGAACAAAGATAGGCAGCTTATCCCTTCTTGCTTTATATGAGGAAGGATTAAAATTTACATGTTCATTTCAAGATCATTTCACTGACAGTTGGAAAAAGAAAGATGTTGTTATTCTCATATTCAAATAAGATGCATGCACACAAATTCTGCATTGTTTTTGTATACCTACCTATTATATGCCAACTTAGACCTTGAAATGAAGTGCTTGTAAAACTCAGTATACTGTGAACTAAATAGTAAACAGAATGCACTAAAGTTACAGCTGACACTGAGCCTTAAAAATCATTCCTCATGTATGACCAGGAGAACGGCAAGCATGCAGAGAAGCTGATTTCTTTCGGTTATAAGCAAAGCACTGAAATACCCTGTGAAATCTGTTTGTTTTGTTTTTTTAAGTGATTAACTTGAAATATAAAATTATCATCTTACTGTGTTTGCAGCTTGGAGATCTGCTTTATGAAAAACGTCAGTATGGAAAAGCCAAGTGGGCGTGTATAAAAATGAAGGAAAAACAGTACGAACAGAGCATATGCCTGGGATTCATGAAGCTCATGAGGTACATTTGCGAGCAGAATTCCTCAGGTAATTGGATACCACAGTTCTACATGAAAAATTAAAATGTGATAGTATTTATACACCAGCTCCTCCTAATTACAGGGATATTTTTATTAAACTTTTTCACATACACCGCCCTCTCTATACTAACATTCTCCTGCAATATAGCCTTTCCACTAGAATTTAAAATGAAGTGCTTCTCCTTCTGTATACACGTTAGGAGAGAATGTCTAAAGGTAAGTGATCCCTGAACCGATTTCCAAAGGTATTCTGACCACAGCAACTGCTTGGGAACCGAAACTGGCTGTTTTTGTAAACTATCAGCAGTAAACAAGGTTTTTGCTATAGAATTTGAGTAATTTAATTTTCACAACAGTATTTAAAAAGCCTGTTCTAAGAACATGTTCAGAGTTTAATGCCAAAAGAGACCTTAACAAGGTCTTGCCTCCCTCATTTTAGCTCATAATACTTAATTTGTGCATGTCTGAATGGACACCAAAAACTTGCGCGGTTGAAGCATATTTTCCAGAAAGATAATCCAGTTTTAACTTGAATACTTTAAAAGGATGGCAAATCCGCCATGTTCTTGGTTGTGCCTGCATCAAAAATATGCAACTAGTTTCCAATCTAAATTTGTCTGCTTTCAGCTCCAAGCCGTCAGTTCCTGTTTTTGCCATTCTCCAGTTGATTGCAAAGTACTGCAATACCCAGTGTTTTGTTTTGTCAAGTACTTGTGTGTTATTATCACGTGAACCTTAATTTTCTTTCTAAGAAGCTAGAAATACCACAAACATTTTTCCTTAATCAGGTATTCTCCCCACTCCCTCATTCTTTTAACATTTTTAATATGGCTTAAAAATTATTTTGGCCCCAGAACACTGCACAGAAGTTTTGTTTCCAAGCTGCGAACAGAAGCAAAGTTCTCACTCCAAATCATCGCTACTGTTTGCACAGTCACGATCATAACCTTTTACTGCAGCATGGCACACGTACAGCAGCATTTGTTAATAACAACTCCTAAACGAAGCCACAACACAGCCTCCTTCTCTAGCAAAGGCCTACGTTCTTTGTTCTCAAATATGTGAAAAACGAGACAACTGCCATTTAAACACAACCTTCAGAGGAAAAATCAAATAGTCTTCAAGTCAAACTCTGCCCTACATGTAGAAGAGCTCACCAAATACTGCATTTTAGACAGACGTGCACCCATCAATTTACAGAAATGCATGTGTATCTTTATATATATATTTATATATATAAAAATACACACACATGCACATTACAAGACATGTAAAAAGCTACTTCCAACTCTGAGTACACAAAGACATTTCCTAAATCATCCTACTGAATTCCATTTAGCAATGAAAATCTTGTCTGCTCTGCAGTATTCACTTTATATTATTCAGTGTGAGTTCAGAAGTCAAGCACAGTATGCAGACCTCCTTTGGTATTTTCTAAAAGTCACATATGTCTTCTCAGGACTGTACTTGGGGATAACAGTACCCATTGTGACTATAGTGCATACAAATGAATCTCAATCGGAGATGACACAGTCAGTGACAGTAGCATACTACCTGCCTGAAGTACTGCAGGATCAGCCTCCTCATCCTTTTGACTCTGACATAATCATTGAAGAGTGGCCTTCTACTATTGTTTACAGTAGGTAAGAAAAATTTTAATTTTGTTCTAGTAACAACTCTAAAAAAAAATGCAGTTTACAATTTGGATGTTACATAATTTAAAGTGAATTCTAAAAGCGAACAGTAAAATTTGATTTTTAGTAACTGTTAAAAGCTGCTTGCTTTATGAAACTGGGATATTCAGGAAGTAACGGTTACCAATTTACTTGGGCAAATGATGTTTCTGTAAACGTGAGATGGAACAGCAGCTCAACACACAGTACTTCATGGAGCTGTGAACAGAGTGCCTGACATACCACTGAAAATGCTGAGTTAATAAGAGAATGTTATCTCTGAGATAAATCACAGGGAGGAAGTACCATTTGTGAATTCTAACCAAATACCTTATGAGAGAAGGAGAAATTTCTAGGCTCTGGAAAAATTGTGGATTTTAAAAAGAACTTGATGTGAAGTTGATTGTTACAGGAGCTTCAGAGGAATCACCAATGAAGACTCTATAATGAGGGAAATAAACCTGCTGGCAGAAATTCTGGAGAGCCCCGAGTTATGTTTGCAGGATACATTCATCATTGCAGGATATACAAATCCAGCTGCTGCTAACCGACTTAATGAAATTTGGTTCCTTCAGAGACCATAGTCTCCCACTTCTAATGCCTCTCCAGTTACAAGATTCAGTTTTGACTTCATGGCAGAATTTTGCAAGTGAATCACGTGAGACTAGAGGACAAACACTACAAGAATTTAGAAAAGTGGCTTTTAGCCAATTAGCAAGACAGTCAATACAACTTAATAAGCATACAGAGGTAACAGCTGCTTGCTTTATAGAGGTAACACCCAAAATATACACAATTTCCTATGTCAAATGTTACATTTTTAAAATAATTGCTATGGAGACTTTTAGCACTTTTAAGATTAGTTCACTTTTTTTTTTCCTCTCCAAAAGATAAGGGAGATAGAGACCTCTCCCCCCCCCGCTCACTTATTAGCATACCTAAACTGCTTGTGGCTTGGGACTGTCCTACGGGAGATCCTGGAGCCTATGCCCTGGGCAGGCCGTGCTGCACCAGCTGCAAAAAGGATACTGTAGGGGCGTTAAATGGGGGACACATTAAAACCACCTCCCACATGCAGACTGTGCTTCAAACAATAATTTTCAGGTCTTCATTTCTGAAGAATTTAGGTCACTGGGATTAAACCACGGAGCAAGACTAGCCCAGTGCTGACTAGTTTCAATACTGTCACCCATGGAGCAGAGATTCTTAACGTTTACCTCAAAGAGCATTTAACCAAAGTACTTTTTTAACTATGAGAAGAGACCAAGAAGTCAAAACAGTCCTAATGCCCGTTAAACTTTTGATAGCCAAAGTTAAGGTATACCTTAATCACACACTCATAACAATCTCATGACTGTATGTGGCGTCCACACATAGAAAGTGCCCATGCTCAACAGTTCAGCTTTCTGACTACTATGGTTTTATAACACAACTTTGCTGAATGTTAATGTGCTGCAACTGAAGTAATCGGTTAACTACTTTTTATGCTCAACTTTTCTAGCAGTGTTACATAATTAAAGTTATAAATATGACACAAATATTTCATAAAATCATAGAAAGACTTAGGTTAGGAGTAACCTCTAGCAGTCACTGGGTCCAACCCTCTGCTGAAAAAAGGCCAACTTGGATGGTAGAGCAGGCGGCTAAAGGTCTCATCCAGTCGAATTTTGAGCATCCCCAGGGAGGGGGGTCCACAACCCCTCCGGGCCGCGTTCCAGTATTTGACCACTCTCACTGTGAGAATTTTTGTCCTAGTATCTAATTTTGTGTGTTGCAACTTGTTTCCTTTACCCTTCATCCATATGACAAAAGGTAATTCTTCAAGTTAGAAAAGGACTAGTGTAGCATGCTGTTGCTCAAAGACAAGCTTGTGTAATTCTAAATGCATCAGAAAGTCTGAAAGCACCATTCAAATTTGGCTGCATATTACAATTCAAGAGCACCAAATGCACTTTAGAACCAGGTTAGCAAATAATTTTGTTCTTAGAAATCCCTTCTTAACCTCTCCCCTTAAAGATCTGATAGTAGAGTTTACTCACATTACTGAATATAAGTAATTTAGTTTATATCAAGTGTCAAGCGTTATATATCACCAGAATTATTTATCAATTACAAGATTTAGGCTCTAGAGCTTGTGTGTTCTTCAGGCAAAACAACATACAATATGACCACCAGAACCAGGGTTTGCTAGGGCATAGTACTCTTAATTGGCAAACCAAATGGATTTATATAGTACTTCTGTGAAAAAACCTACAGATCGAGAACTTTAAGCCTCCTAGCTCCGCAAGGCTTTCTCCTGCACAAAGCCGACTTTATTCTTCAAACTAAAACCTCTTACTGTGAAGCTGAACCCGAAAAATACTGATGGGAAGCTGGTTGATCATGCTTAAGCACGATCAGGGTGCCCTCGAGTGGCTGCTCTCTGCAAAGATGACTTCAGTAAAACAGCAAGGGGCGGCGGGGGAGGAGAAAAGCCTTATTTTTAAACATAATTAAGCTGATAGCGTTCGCAGAAAAAAATGAGCAGTCCTCACTTCCTTCTTCTGAATCTCTAATTCCTCCAGCTTTTCAGACGCCTTGCACTGCTTCAACACAAACATTTGCATTGCCACAAATTAACTGGATGTTAGAGCTGATCTCACTTGGGGGGAGAGGAAATCTCAAGAGATTGTGGTTTATTCTTTGTTTTCTTCCCCGAAAGCAAGCTGTCTGATCTGATTTGCCAGGTGGCAACGCAAGTGCTTGTGTCAGTTGTGGCCATAAGTAGGAACCACAGGGTAAACGCACGCCAAGGTATCTCTTACTTAACAGGACAAGAGGATGGCTATACCTGTCATATATTTTATTCCTCTCAATTTGTTAAAGACATAGGATCACAGCTAGGAAAAAAATTATGCAGACTTCCTTTTCAATATGTTCAGTCAGTCGTTTCCTGTCTGATTACCCCTGAAGTTAGTGACCAACTAGAGCAGCTATTTTAGCTTGGCTTTTTACTTTAACGTTTCTTCACTTTGTTAGAAACACCAGCCAGTATTACAGTAAAAGCTAGTAAGTTAATGGAAAACAATAAAAACTTTCAAAGAACTGAGTTGAATGGGGGATTCAGGGATGCATTAAATAACAGGTTTTGTTTTAGTCCCGCCCAAAGAAAAAGGTTTTGTTTTGTTTTTTTTAACTATAAAGGCAAATAAAAGATACATTTTGACCACTGACAAAATCTTATGGCAAATTAAAGTAGTTTTTTCAAATTGATTACTTCTGACAGTTATAGAAATAATACAGATGCTTTGGTACAAGAAATGTCTAATAGCTATAGGAAGCAATTAAATCCTCTCACCAGAAGGCATCTATTTGTATATATTTTACATTAAAAAACTGTTTTAAAGTGTTTGCTACATAGTACATCTCTTTCCATAAGCAACCTTCACCTAAATATTTGTCTGACTCAGTTGCTTGTGGGTATGGTATAGAAACGTACTTGTTACTAAAATATAAAAATGAGCTGTTTATCTGAATGTGCTGATATCCTAACCACAGCAAAACGTTCAGTGTTGTTTTACTTAAAACTGTGAATTCCAAGATAGTTTTTATTTTGACTCATGTTAGACTGCTTATGCTGCTGAGAAAGAACCAGTTAATCTTAAGTTTGAAGATACACTTTATGGCTATGAAACACTGTACCACCGTCTATAAATGGCCCTCACGGAGCATGGCACTAAGAACTGCATTTCTTTTGATTGAGATACAGAGTGAGCGTACTTAATAGCTACACCAATAAATGTCATGGAAATGTTACTATTCCTCAAAAATACCATCTTAGAAAGCTTGAAAACTTTGTCAAGCCTGCTTACCTAGCTCCTATTATTAGAACAGGTATTTTAATATCCTTCTATCTCTCTACTTTGTAAGCGATTAAAAACAAAAATCCTTTGGCTAATCTGAAGCACTTGATTTGCACTACTAAAAGGAGATAATAAAATATAATCCTGTACTCTATAATCCCGTAAAATATAAACCCGTACTTTTGAAAATTAAATGAAGTAGCCTAAGTAGATGAATGTTGTCCTGCATATTGTGTATTTTTCAAACACGTATTAGTGCCTAAAAAGTTTATTCCAGTTATTGTGATACTCAGGGCCTTGCTTATTGTATGTATACAAATATAAACTATAATTTTTCCAGCATTGTTGAGTTGTGCTGTTTAACTCTGTCCTTCATTTTCACTGAAAAGTTGTCTTGTTTACTGTTACTGTTTGTTAAAATTAAAGCTAATGATTTTATTGTGCAGAGTGTACAGCTGGATTTTATTTTTCTAACACTGGCATACTTTAACATCTACTTTAGAATTCAGTGTTTCACAGTCTCTTTATTGCCATCTTTCCTTTGAATGGAAACAACATAAATCACAAGGTACTATTTTGAATTCACAAAACCCATTTTAGCCCCAAATTTGAAACGGTCACCATAAAACCCCAAAGGACTTGACTTAAATAATAAATCTATATATAACATACCTATATGGAGCTACACATCTACGTGCTGTAGTCAGCAAGCCTACCAGCAAACTCTTATTGCTCCTCACTGCAGAGGTCATCTGCAACCTCGTTTGCAGAAGTATTCAGAACGGTCTCCACAGTTCTTACAGGAGTCGCAGAATGAGTTAAGAGCAGTTTCACAATCAAACTGTAGAGAAGCAGTATTTAATAGTGTGATGCATGTACTTGAGTTTTCTATTCTCCCAAACCCAGACCTCCTTCAGAAGGTACCTCACAACCAGTTCCTTTGGGGAGGAAAGGATCACAGCATGTACTTGTTACTTCCTGTGACTGCTCTCATACTCCGATATCAAAGCATCCAGAAGCCAAAACGCACGAGCATGTTAAACACCATAAAAGACAAGTTTAAGGGCATGGCCAAGGCCCATCACCATTCTGCAGAAAACAGCACAGCTACAGAAGCACCTTTCTACAAAGTGAGGTATAGGAGCCACTTCTGCAAGTGGTAACATCTCTGAGATTGAGGCATGGTTTGCCCACTGAAAACAGAATGGAGAAGACTGGGTAACCACCCCTTCACTCTGTAATAATTGTTTGTACAAGAAGTCTTATGTTCTAATTAAAGTAGCAATTCAAATGCAAATATCAGATCAAAGAAAGGAAATTGAAACCACCGAGGCCACAGTGGCAGCCATTGACGTTAATAAAGGTTTGTCTGTGCTCCACAATTACACCAGATTAGTCAAACCTACAGGCTGATTTCAGCTTTAATCTAAAAGCAAAAACCTCAGACTCTAAGGCTACCTGTTTGAAAACAGCTGATCCAAAAAAGCTAACTCTAAACACAGAAAACAAAGGCACAGATTTGCCTTCCAGTGGCCTTCACACCGATTACAGCAAAATCACTAAACATTTAACTCCAAAACATACTTTAAGGGCAACAATCCCATACTAAACTTATTCCTAATTTTTTATGGTTCTTACCAAAAAAGAACTTTTTAGAGTGATGGCTTACATAATGCTATGTGTCTGCTAGCACCAGACTGAGAAGACGCAGATGATTAGCCATCAACTAGCTAACAGTTCTGGTACCTGCTAATCTCTACTCTATTTGAACAGTAGCTACTAGTAAAAACTACTCACAAAAATAAGGGAAACTATGTACACTTACAGAGGAGTTAAAGCTCTAAAGATTATTCTTGACAAGAAAAAAACATTTTAATCCATATACGGATTCATGTAAAGTTGACAACCTGGATAACACAAGCACAGCAACTTCCAACCTCTCAATACTACTAAATTCCAGCCCAATTAAAAGAGGTCCTCAATTTAGGTCTCAAATACCATTTTTACAAGGAGATCTGAAAGAGCATAAGAAAATTAATCTCATGGTAAATTTCCTAGAGCTTTAAGTTATTGCAAGGTAATGCATACCATTAGTACAAAATGAAACAGTAGCTGCTGTAGTTGAAAGCATTTTTTCCCCTTTGCCTTATATTCAAAGGCAACGTGAATTCCATAGGAAAGCGTTAACTTTGTAAGTTATTGCTAGACTAGATAAAAATGTTAAAATAGGAAGGGAGATTATTTCTTTAGCGATGCTATCCATTAAACAATAAAGAAATCCAAAAACTCACCCGGATGTAAGCATTCTGAATTTCTACTAGTTCTTCACCAAGTGGAACAACGATTTTTTCCACGCATCGCTCATGAGAATAAGGCTGAATTTCTGGAGAATCTTCAGAACAAAGCTCTATCTGCGCAATGAGCAAGTTGGAAATAACTTGCTGGACAGCCTATTTGAGAAGTCAAAAGAAAAGATTGTATTTTCTTGTTATCACTCCAGTGATGCAAGTCAATAGCACGTGAAAGTAACTATTCCCATATTTTAATAGGCCTTGAATATAATAGTAAGGAAAAGATACTTCCTGCCTATGTAATAGATGGATGAAAAATGAAAGACTCTCCAGTTAAGGACTTTTAGTGTGTAAATAACCTATATGATCAATTTGTGAATGGAAAAATCATGCAATTGCCTTAGCATTTGAGCAGCAGAACTCTCTTCAGGCTTGGTTGTGCCGTGAAATCTCTCATGAGACATTACCAGGAACATGCTAATACTTTAACAGGTGAGAACTCTTGTAGCCTACAGCGCATGTCAAGCTGGTACTCGGTAGCATAAATATATACTACCTGCACCATGATGACAGAGCTACGGCCACTGCCACACACCACCCCGGAAGATGAACGTGCAAATACCAACGCACTAGGTCTTGCTGAGTAAGAGCAAGAAAGACTAATAAAACTCTTTTAAAAGTGTTCTCTGTTTAGCTCCTCTTTAATATTGAGGTTTTAGAGCAGTAAACAATTCACACAGCACTTATTTTTTCAAGCATTAACATCTTGAAAAGCTCCATATAGAAGTCAAACTACACAGCTTTTCCGTAGACTGAAAACTTCAGCCTTATTTATATTTATCCAATAAACTGCACTCAATAAGAAAGCCACCTTGTATTGAGAGTATGCTCTTTTTGGTTCAAGTAGGTGTGTATTCTCTAACAGCAAAAGGTATGTTAGCTCTTTCACGATATAATCTTATTTCCTTTAAGAAAGGACAGGAAAAAAGTAAAGTCTATAGCAACAGAAAGACAAACATTCAACAACTAATAGATTGTGAAGTGGTTCAGTTTTTATTTGGAACTCTGAAAGACTTCAATATCCTCCATGTCGTTCAACAGGTACTAAACATAGCTTCTATTAAAACTGTTACTCTAACCATGAAAGTAGGTTTGACTCACCTTTGTGTCGCTGCCTGGAGTGGCACTTAGGGCCAAGATCCGAAACTGAGTTGTGTATTTGCTTAGTTCCCTCACAACCTAAGAGGAGGAAAGTTTCATGTAAATATCCTTACAAGAGATTATCTGCTGATACAAACTATATTGATGAAAATATCAACTAAGTGGTAAAGGCTCAATAAAATATCCTAAAAAGAGTGCACCTAAATTCAAACGGGAACCAGAAATTCCTCAGCTGATCATGTCTTTAATCCAAGAACGTTTCATCTTGATTATGTTAGCCCAATTCCACTCAACAGAACAAACTTTTTAAGTTATATGAAATGATTTTTCACTTGATTTAACAAAAAGATTAACAGCATGTTGACCCAAATAAGCTGCCAAAAAATAAATCTGAAGAGCCACTCTACAAAAGTAAATTGCAGATGACTAGTTCCACCTAATCTGAACCCAGATCAGATGAAAGCTGCTGTGAAAACCAGCATTCACCGGAGTCTCGCTTAAAATTTTTCAGTAGCAGTTAGGAAAAGAGCTTAATATTCCTTAGAACTCTCAAATTCTCATCCTACAACCCTCCATAAGACCACAGACGCGACAATCGTTATTTGCTGAACGTTCAAGCAATAGCCAAACTGCCTCTCTACTTCATTTGCCTACATAGCTCAACTCCACCAGTGCTGTCAGAGAAGAAACGCTGTTCCTTCTGACCAACAGCCTTGCACTGCACAGAGAGGAAGAAAACAAAATAATTACAAGTAATAAATATAAAAGCTACAGAAAATAAATGAATGGAAAACAAAGAAGATAGAAGAATTCAATTTATGTTTATACTAAAAAGCAAGAAAAAAGCCTGGTAATTTCACAGTTACAGGGACTGACAAGAGCAATTGAAGATTTTTCTCCTCTATAACTAAGACCACTCAAATGTGAACAAATACAAATTTTGGCTCTATGTTACAGACTGATTAGCATAATAGCAAAATAATTGTTTCATACAGTATCTTGAAATAAAATAACCAATAAGCTTAAATTCTTTGAAAATGAAGTTACTATCGGTTCTGAAAAATGAAAGAACGATAGAAGACAAAACTGCAACAACAGTGAGCCAACACGTACTATTTTAATTTAGCAAGCTATCATCTTCCTCGCAGCACGTCAAGTTAGACGAGCATTAAAGAACAACTTTCATCTAAAACCTCCTATAGCTCCTTTCAATCAATTTCTCTAATACCTACAACAGTAACTTTCTCTTGAGTCACATATTATTAGCAAGAGATTAAGCCATGATACCACAACACACTATTTCCTAATCAAAGCAAAGCTTTGTTTGAAAGGGAAATCTCCAATTCACTTCACTTAAGATAAAGAACTTGCACTACCAAAAAAAACCCCACATTTTTTCTGAAAAATACATCCCTCCATTTAGGATTTATTCAAACACTGCATAAATATACTGGTGCGCACCGGCAAATATGAACACATCTGAAATACAGAGCATACTTGTTTTATATTCATAGCCTCTGTTCAAAACATATTTTGAAACAAAAATTACAATTTTACTCAGACATGAATAAAATTTCCATCTAATCTAGTTTTAATATAGTTTGTACTTAAAATCAAGGTGCTGATCACACGGAGCGTTGCTCGCTCTCTGCTCGTTTTTCAAACAAAGCTGAGGAACTAAAGAACATCATCCGTAAAGCCACAATGCCAGTGACGCTTTCAGGAGAACCGGTGAGCCGTTTTTTGGTAACCGCGTGCCAAGAGCGGCGTTTGTCCCTCCAGCGTTACCTGACAGTAGGCGTGATTGCCAAGCGCTTTGTGGGCTTCGTCGATAACCAAACACTTAATCTCTGCAGCGGGACAGGTTCCGCGGGAAAGATCGTTCACCATGATTTGCGGCGTAAGGAAGAAGACTCTCTTGACAGCCCACAGCTCCCTCCGATCGAGGACCTGCGTTCCCCCTGGAAACAAAACAAGCGACGTCACCAAGGTGGCCAGGTAAGACCAAAACACGTAAAACCCCCATGTGCTGAGAAGGGCCTGGGGGGGCCGGCTGACCGCCATCCACTGGGGGAAATGAGTTTTTTTTTAAAAAAAGCATGTATGTTAATGCTATTCCCTTTGCAGGCGAGGAGGAGTGAACGCAATGCATGGGAAGGTTGTCTTTTCCAGTGAAACAGTAAGTTTAGAGCCACGGAAAACAGAGCTA